GACAGCCTTGGGTTAACCCCGCACCTCCCCCCCGATGCAAGGAGGCGGCATAGGCCTCCAAGCAAAGGTGCAGCACTTGAGCCAAAATGGCTACTCTCTCTCTCTCTCTCTCTCTCTCGTAGGGGGACGGACACCGCACGCCTCGCACGACTGTGGTACACAGGTTGTTGACTCCACCAAAGGTCTTTCCTGTGGTGGCACGGCTGGAATGGTACACAGGTTGTTGACTCCACCAAAGGTCTTTCCTGTGGTGGCACGGCTGGACTGGTGGCCCAACTTTGCATACTTTCTTTATACAGGATTCTCGGCAGACTCTGAAGCCGCAACAATCTTGCCACTCCACAAGCCACCTCTGTCTGTCTCTGTCTCACCGTCGCTCCGTCTCTCGGTCTCTCCGTCAGACCAAAGGGAAATTGGTGTCCGAAGAGCGCGGCTCGCTCCGGCAAAAACTCCCTGGGCCCGGGGCCATCGATCATTGCGATCACGGGCATACGCCACGTAGTGCCCAGAAGCTGTAGAGCCCCTGGCTAAGCCATGCTCGGCTCGCACGCAGCACGCAGTGGATCCCTCAACATGCCAGAAGCTCCGCAGGTCATGGTGAACACACATCGCGTAGAGCTGGTAGACAAGCCCTTAACAGCAGCACACCACGCCGGAAGCGGGGCTCCTTTAGCATCTGCGTGCCTTCACCGTTCTGATCTCGATGGAATCTCTTCCGGTCAGAGGCAGGAATCCACGGACCTGGTGACCAAGGCAACCATATCAGGCGGACCTGATGGATCACGTGCAGCATTAGATGCCGGCTGAGGTCAAGCTCCAGCGGAAAGCTCACCCTCAAGCACACAGGAGCTGCAAAAAAGATAGACCTGCAGATTGCAGTGCCTCCTGTTGATCTTACCGAACAAGTTCGTGTCCTGCTGGCGGGCTGTGAGTCGCAACTCCTTGCCAACACTTCATTGCTGAAACCTGACGGCGGTCGATGTAGACGACAAAGACCTCGCGAAAAACCCACGAAACAGTGGACCGGCCGGCTGCTTGTGCCGAGCGCGCGATGGCCCGCGATTTCAGCATCACGAGCGATTGAAATATCAAGAGACATCAGAATCTCCCTTTCCTATGTGATGGGTTCGTGCCAATAGATATCAACCGACAAACGTGAAGCAAAGACGTCGAAAAGAGTAATGCAATAAGACCACGGCGCAGAAGCTGCAACGTTCATCATCGTGCCATCATGACAGATGGTGATGGTTAGTCTGCATTGCAAGTTGCGCAGGTGGAGATGGGCACGTGTTGAAGAGCCTTGTAAAGTCAATTGCATGCTTGCCCAGACTTTTTGAAAGCCAAGGACCCTAACCAAGCATGGCAGCCGAACTATCAGCTTCAGAGAGATGGATCGGATCTGACTGCCTGCGACAGTAGGGTGCAATAGTGCAGCGGAGGAAGGCCTGGATTGTGGGCCCTGACATGGATTGGAAAGCCGCGAGCACCATTTCGACGACAAAAACGAAAACTTAACAGACTAGCTGAACTATTGATGCGTCTAGTCACTCTAGTCCTAGTCCAGCTGAGTTTCGGAGGTAACCTCGCCTGGCTGCCTTGAAGTCCGCTCAGTCCAACGTTCGAAGCCGAGGCCAGAGCATTTGGCCTCCGACGTAGGAAGGACGTGCGACAGGCACCCCGCTTGTTGCACCTGCACAAAGGAGGAGCAACTGCCGATGGAAGCCAGAGAACCTCCCGAGATGATGGCTTTTCACACTTGAAATCTGCAATGTGCTCTTCCTTGGTGTACCTCAGATTTTCAGGATCCAGAACATGACTTCAGCGCGTGGCAGTGGGAGCGGGTTCTTGGGCACTCGTCCAACAGCTTCGCCAGCGAAGTCGGGCTCGCCGAAGACTCTGATGTCCGGCCTTCGAAAGGAGAAGCGTAAAGAACACAGCCAGCAGCTCCTTACGCCGGGAGAGCTCTCTGAAAGAGAGAGCTCGCCCCAGCGCTTGGTTCTGGGGCCTGGGCTGCTGGGGCCCAGCGGCCGTCGAAGACACCAGCGGTTCATCTGCTTCTCGGCGCTCTCCTCAGCGATCAAACAACCTCCCAACTCTTCTCGCCTTCTTCCCTTTCCGCTTCGCTCCGCTTCGCTCCGCTTCGCTCCGCTTCGCCGCCTGCCGGCACTTCTGCAGCTCTTCCTCCGTCATGCCCAGTGTCACCGTGAGACATAGACAGTACTCCACCTGCCATTCCAAGCGCAAAGCAGAGACCATGTCATGGTAGGGCAGCGAGCAGCGACCCTTATAACTGGCACTAGCGCAGGAACCCCGTGCTCCCTGCCCCACCCGCGTCACCAAGGACTCGTAGCTACAGGCGTTGCAGGCCACGCGAGAACCTGATGCTGGGCAGCTAGTCACAGAACTTCCGATGCACAAACGCATTACATGTTGGGCATCCAGGGAGACGGCCCATCAACATGCTGAACACGTGGCCAACCATGCTGCTGGCCTGTTATGAAATTGCGGATTGCCGGCTTCACTCCAAGCTGCAACACTTATGGCTCCTCCAGCTGCTCCTTCTCAGCGTACCTGCGTGAAGGAATCCGGCGAAGGCCCCTGCTCTTCCTGTCGCTTCGCTCTGCGCACCCGAGCTTGGAGCAGTCCCCAGATCCGTCGCCGACCTTTTCAAAACGAAACCTTTCTTGAAGCCACTAGTCGCTAGCCAGAGAAGCGCCCGCTTTGACTCAAGTAAACTCCTGTTCTGAGTTCCTCAAGAATCTGCCTTGACGCAGCCGTTGAGCCAGCGCGAGAGCAGGAGCATCAGGGCTTCGTGGGCGTCCGCTTGCCTTCCAAAGGCAAACTCCTCCGAGGCCTCGGCCAAGAACGGAACATCCAAACACGATCATCACGATCATGCATGTGCTGCACTCTGCTCTGCCCTATGGCCTCGGTGATCAGCCGTTGGAGCCGCCTGGGCAAATCCACCTCACGGCGCCCCTCCCCGAAGCTCTCGAGCAGACCAAGCTTTTTCTTAGGGCCGGCACATAACGCGCGCCCTTCCGCTTCGCCCCGTCCATGAGGCGGCCTACTCACAAGAGCAAAGGAGCCGTCTGCTCCGAAAAGCCGCCTCTATAAGCCTCGTTTTGCCAGAAGCTCACCTCGCTCACGCCTTTTTACGCCTCTTTTCCCAAACGCTTCTGATTCCCTCTCCCCAAGGTCATGCCATTTAGCGTCTCTTCGTTACGCCTTCTTCCCAGACGCTTCTCTTCTCGCTTCGCAAGTTCACGCCTCCATATGGTTTTTTTCCACATGCTTTCTTTTCTCTCAAACCGGGACAACGCCTTTTCACGCTTGAGAACACCTCTGTTTTCCAGGTTCTTCTTGTCTCCTTTTGTCCCGCCCGGCCGCATGCTTCGCGAAATGGGCAGAATCATCGGGGTGTCGGGTGCAAGATTTATAGGACACTCGATTTATACATCGGTTTCTGGAAATTGTTGCACTAGGGCATGAAACTTCAAGACCGAGTGAAACTCACAGCGCGTATTTTATGTGGTAAGCTATAGCATTACAAATATACGAACAACACGATGTCATAAGGACCTGAAATCAAGCATGGTGCGGCAGCAAGCAAGCAGCTTCAGTGGGCCGGAGGAAAACCTTGTGGTTGCATGCTGAATACGGCGCGTGCTGCAACCGGAAGGGGCGAAGTTAAGAAACGTTATGACTCGGAATCACTGGATGGGGGCACAGGGGGTTTTAAGAAGTGTGATGATGCATAAACGCTGAATGAAGGCGCCAACTCAAAATCTGATCAATCGGGATCGCCAAATGACGAGGCGGATTTAGGAAACGTGCGGACAGCACTGGAAGCAACCGGTTACCGTTTACAGCGCGACATGCCGATGTGAGTTCTGTGAAACTGTCATGCAATGCTCTCCGCGAATGCTTCACACAAGGGATTACCAACGGCTTGGGCTTGATCGTAATGCATGAGCACGTAGGGGAAGTGGGATCATTCGCCAACGCCTTAAGGATGGGTCGAGTCATGCAGGTGCGCTTGTGAGGACGGTGCCCAGGCAGACAAGGAATAAACACGCTTAAAGAGGCTGGGACACCACAGGGGGAGGCAAAAGGTGGGCTCAAAATTCCGGGAGCCGACTGTTGACGCAGAGCCCAGTGTACAGCCCTGGCCTCCTATCGTTTCCTCCATTGGATCATAGCATTTTTGTTCTGTCCCGCAACACTGTGGGGGGTCTGGGTGCGCGGCTGAGATTCAGGAGCTCGGCGAGCCAGGGCTCCTCTGAAAAGCGTTTTGAGCGGAGAAGGGCCTTTGGGACAGCAGGGACCGCAGGGAGGAGAGCCCTATAGAGGACGGCTGAAAAGGCTCTTGGAGGTTGGGGCTTCGCTTAGGCTTCTCCAGCGGCTTCTCTTGGAGTCCTCCGGAGGCTCAGGGCAGGTTTCGCGCAGATGCTGCCGCAACAGAGGCGTGTGGAGCAAGCACTGACAAACCTTAGTCAACGCTCCGCGGCTCCGCGGCCGCCTTCCCCTTAAACCTTTCGCCTTGAGGACCTGCTGTCTGCTTTCGAGCTATTTGCGGACTCTTTTGCAAACCGAGTCGTCGCCGTGTCCCTCAGGTCTCCAGCATAAACCCAGGCAGATTGGCCCAGTTGCTAAATAAATCAACTTGGTACAGGAAAAAGCGGCCGACATCGTACCGAATTTGTCCATGCCCAGTCCGTCTGGCCTGGAGTGTGGAATCGAAAACGTGTTCATGGTAGCCTGGTCTAAAGGCTCCCTGGCACTCATGCGACGCATTGCCACTGCAACACTTTATAGATGCGTGACCGATGCGTAGCCTTCACCTGAGCAGAGCAATGCGTGCAAGTCGTCCCACCCCCTCAGCAGCTGCCTCTCAGCGGTGCTGCCGGGGGGTCAAGGTGAACCCCAGTCCCTTACGGGCCCTTTGGTTGGCTCAATCAGCACAACCGGGTCCATTGTGAAACCCATTATCGGGTCCCCTAAAGCTGAAACACAACTCGCTCGGGTTCAGGGCCGCGGCTTCTGCCTGCAGCACCCTTGCCTCGATCAGTCTGAGCGCCGTTCCCTTTGGCGCTCTTCCCCTTGCTTCCCCTGCCCTTAGTGGCACCTTTTCCGCTCGAATCGCCACGAGCTCCTTTGCTGAAGTTCCTGCCAGAAGCAAATGCCCTGACATGCCCTGACATGCCTCGACATGCCCTGGCCTTTGATCTTCCCGGGAACCTGAGGCAGAGCGGCAGGGCACTCTTAGACTTCCGAAGTGACTCTTGTCTGCTTCTGGGAGTCTATAGGCCCTCCGAAAACCCAAAAGCGACAAGCCCTCATGCCCCTGCGCCCACCATAAGCACTGGCCCAGCCTGATTCTGCAAGACCTGGGTTGTTCGGTCTCCTTGGTCGTTCGATTAGGCGGATGCCCAAAGCGATGATCGGACACAGATCCAATGGAATAGCACCTACATGCGGGGGTCGTCGCGTCGTTGTCGTGAAGACGTTTGATTGGCATTTCTGATGGGAGCTTGACTTGGCAACACGACACCCTTCCGGGAAATTAATCGGAAATGATCCGAGAATGGATTAGGCGATTGGAGAAGATTCTGGGTCCTCAGAATTAGCTGATTGAACTCTCTAAACGGGGGAACTCGAAAGGAGACCAGGGACCCGGTTGAAGCATGCCTGGCGCCCTATGAACTTCCACTTTCTACTGCCCCGACACCGCATAGATGATTGTGGGCTCAGATTTCACTTCGACCTAAACTCTAAACCCAGCGGAGAGCAAAACACTTCTGATTCATTGGCTGTGTATGGAGGCGTCATCGTGCAGCGCGTGGAGAAGAAACACTGTTGATGGAGATGATTGCGTCGTGTCTTTTTGTGTCGAGGGGCATTGTGCCGTGGTTTTTTTGCATGGAAACTCTTTCTACCCTTGACGGAATCCTGAACGGGCGCCTGTTCGCACTAAGCATAGGGAGTGGGCTTTTTCTAGCTCGACGCCGTGAAAGCTTGAACCGGTCAAACTCTAAAAAGCTTCAAGCATAGAAGCATGACAAGATTGAAGCTAGCAAGTTTCGAGATTGAAAACCTGTGCGAGTTTGGAATTTGGAACGGCAATTCAATTTGGAAGTTTGAATATTTGAGACCGTCCATCGTCTAATGAGGGAGCGAGTTTGAGATGAGCGATCGCAGTTACCGAATCGTCAGATTTGAGATACGCCGTCGTAGGGCCCGCTGAGGAGCCGGATTCAAACGCCATCGTCTAACTAACGAGGTGTCGGGTTTAAGATGAGCCGAACCGCCATCCCGCGATGGCAAGGCAGGATGGAAAGCACAGGATCAAACATCAGCGCATAGTGGGACACAGAATCAAGGTATGAGATCAACCGCCCTCGCCTGCTGAAGGGCCGAATCTAAGACATGCTCTGCTTGGCGGTTCGACACATGAATCAACCGCCATCGCCTACTGACTTAATGAGTGGGCGAGCTTCAGATATGGGGACCAGCCACGGACGTTCAAACTTTCAATCTTTCATCCCTTCGAACTTTCAAGCTTTCTTTCAAGCTTTCGAACTCTCATAAACTTACTCGGTTTGGATCGACCGTCAAACCTTTCAACTCGACAAAGATTGAAGCTTTCGAACTGTCAAACTCTCGACCTCGGCGACGGCCACAAACCGAACTTGAAGCCAACCTTTCACGGAACTTTCACGCTCGTTCGAACTCGGTTTCCGCGGCTGAAGTTTGGATGAGTTCGAGTCGTTCGAGGCAGTGAGAGCTCCAACGTACGAGAGGTCAAAAGGTCCCGTGTGACGCCTCTTCGCTCGCTTGTGCGTAGAGGCAGACAGAAAGACGGTCGCCCGTTAAGGCTTGGCCAAGCGTCCCTACAGCGGATGCACGGGCTCGCTGCTCCTCGTCGAGCAACACCTCCTGAAGACGCAATTTCAGGCCGTGCAGAACCCCACTGCACTGGGCCAAAGCGACTCCCGACCTGGCTGACGTGCTGGCGGATGGCCTGCGCCAAGGGAACCTGGACTCCTGAAGTGGCCAAAGCCAAGGCTGAGTGTGACGGGGGGCCGAGGGCCGAGGCGGCGCGCCTCCGCTGAAGACGCACGGCGCCCGAAGGTCGCTGACGGCCTCTCGCGCGCGCGCAGGCGCTGCAGGACGGCGCGACAAGCGTCGCGGACTCGCACTTCGCTTCGCGCACCTTCCAGCCGCATTTTGCAAGAAAGAAGGCCAGGTTTCGAGCAAGTCCTTGGACGAAGGCTTCCGCAACCGCGGAGATGCCAGGATGCTCCGCGCCTGACTCTGCACTCTCTCTGCCTCTTCTGGTTCGTGGGCATTGCAAACAGGCCGCCGAGGTTGCAGACGTTCCGGAAGACGGTGAAGTAAGCTTTGCAGCTCGCGGGATCTTCGAAGTTCACGAAAGCCAACTTGGCCCATGGCAGGTAGACCTCGCGAGCAGAAACGGAGACAAAACGAAGGCTCTTCTCGGCAGGGCATGGGCGGCATGGGCGGCATATGCGGCATATGGGGCATGGCAGGGCTCTCCGAAATTTCCCCTCTGAGTCTGAGAACTTGGCAAAGTCATACCTTGGAGCCTGGAAGCCTCGGTCGGCGGGCCCAAAGAACTGTACGTCTGTAAGGGCGCTCTAGTCCGAGGAAGAGGCCGAGGGCTGCTGTAGTGACATTGAGCATGGTCATGAGCTCCGGGTAGGTCATCTTCGAAACGCTGCTTCGCAAGACCAGGGTGGTCGTACCTCAGAGCAGAGGAGCGCCGAGCAGTGCGGAGGAGGCCTGCCAAGAAGAGCGGAGCTCTGAGCTCCCGGGCCATCACCCAAGGTGTCGGCCCCATGGAGCGAAGCGGCCGTTTGGGCTGTGGCCATGATGGGCCCGCCGGGGCCCCGGGCCCCTCCGTGGTGCTCCTCGGCTGCCGTCTGCCGCCTCCGCAGCGCCCCGCGCGCCCCCCCTCAGCCGAGGCAGCCGAGGCCCTGGCCCTTTCGCATGCTATTCGGACTCTGGTGGCGACATGGCTGCGCGGGCTGCCGTCGAGCCGACACAAGGAAGTTGCTTCTTTTTTTTTTGGGGGGGGGGCTGCAACGAGAGAGAGGTCAGGTCAGGGTCATTGAGGGGCGTCAGCGAGCGGCGCCCGAGGCATGGAGCTGACGAGCTGACTGGGTTTCTGGCTGCGCTGAGGTAGCAATTGTTGCTCCAGTTGGTAATGCCCACTCCAGGCTCCTGCAGCGCAAGACGTCCTCAGCTCTCTGTTTGCACTCTTTGGTGCTTCTTGCCCTTTGCACCTCCAAGTAGCTCGAGCTTTCCCGCCAGCGCGAACGGCCGAGCCTCCCACAGAAGCTCAACGACACAATGCGCAGCACAAAGATTTGTGCATCGGCACTGTGCATGGCTGTCAGCTCCAAAAATTCATGCACGGCTTTCATGCAAGCGAGAGCAGCGAAGCGCAGATCGTCTGCTCGCACACAGGTCTCATGAAAGGCGAGTGCGTGGCATGATAGCCTTGCGAGAACATGCTGCACTTGTTCAGGCTGTCCTCGGAGTCTGCCGGACAACATGCGCATGAACGTCGCCGTGCTCTGTTGGACTACAACAGTTACAGCGTAATGTGGACACAGCCTTGGGACAAGATGAGCGGTGGTGGTGACGGTTGCCGTTGCAGCTGGCATAGCAGCCACTGTGCATGATGTCGTTCAAGGACGTACCATTCGGACGGAAGTCGTTGATTCGGTCGTTAATCGAAGCCGGCAGCTTGCAGATGGTTGCATTGTGCTTCGAGGCTTCAGTGGCAGCGACGCTTGTGGTGGAGGCCAAATAGCTCCAGCCTGGGTTCCTGTCTTGCGGAGCGCTTGTTCTTGGACGATGTCACAAGATGCAAGCTCAGGTGCAAAATGATCTACTGGCGCCTGTGTCCACTCGTTGTTCGGCACTCAGGTGGGCTATAACGCATACTGGATTCGGCAACGAGGCGCAGCACACGATCTGGCTTGGGTTATCCTTGGCTCGAGCGCCTGCTGCTTGATGGCTTTCGTGAGGGCTCTGCAACCGTGACAGGTTGTATCGTCCTGAAGCCTAAGGCAGAGCTTCGGCATGAACCGCCTGATTTCCTAGCCGGGGGGGTGGGGGTGTTCGCGACTTTCGCGGAAGATCTGAGACTCCTCAAAGCGAGAAAAGCGCAGAGGCACCGGCCAGGAGCGGAAGCCCTCGCCGCAGAGAGCGGGAGCGGAGCTGCTCGGCTCTTGGGGAAGCTCCGACTCGTCTCCGAGGGTCCCCGTCGGATTGGAGCGCCTGCGAACGGGGGCCCTGGCGGCGAAAGCCCCGCCCCGGGGGCCCTGGCCTCGTCGCGGGTCGGCAGACGGCTTTGTGGACTTTCCAGTGCTGCGCCTCGGCCACTGCCCTTTAGAACCGCACTTTGGAGGACAGGCCTTGCCTTGCCTGGCAGGCTTTGTCGCAGTAGGCTTCCTTCTTGCAGCGCCCACACTGCGTCTTGGCGCTCCTCGCCCACGCTGAAAAACGAGCATCATGGCCCCTGGCATGGCCCGACGGGGTCCGGTCCTTCCGCAGGCGGCACAGCGCAGGCCGCCGCCATCCTGCTGAAACAGCAAGTGGAGGCCCAAGCCAGGCCCAAGCCACCTGCTGGTTCCGCCTTTTGTCGGGAGGCCGGTTGCTCCCTCAGGGGCTGCGCAGAGCTTGACCACGACACCACGACACCAAACCAGGCGCGCACCTCTTTTCTGCAGCTCCTTCCTCGGCTGCCTCAAGGCAGAAAGAAACCCCTGCAGGCCCCGGTTGGGCAAGACTGCCAGGGACCGGCCTCCGGGCGGCACGCCCGCAAAGGTGCCGGAGAGCCTTTGCCTTTCTCCTGCCTGACGCAAAACCGCAAAACCCACCCAGTGCTCACGCCATTTTAAGTACTTGGAGGGTCGGGGGACTTAGTAAGTAAGTAGTAAGTAGACTTATAAGTACCCTAAAAGGGACCCTAATTGGGGTTATGGTACTTATAAGTCCTTCAAATAACCAGTTACTAAGTCCCCCGACCCTCCAAGTATCCGATCAGGGAGAGGAGTCGTGGCAGTTCTGCAATTGCTCCATCATCAAGATCATCAATGCGCACTGCGTCTCCGCATTCAAGGCATTCAAGCGGAATCACATGTGCAGGACTCCAGCGAGCTGCAACAACCCCTCAACTGTGCAGCCCGGCTTATCCGCGCGCATTCCAAGCATTGCCACGTTTGGGGGTGCGCGGTGCATCGATCAATCCACTTCAGGCGGTGCCGGAAGCGCTAGACAAGCCGCAGAGCGGTCCTGTCACATGGCGAGGCTTCTGCCGCTGCCTGTGGCGAGTTGGAAAACCGGTGACCCGGAACAGTTGTGGCCTTGCATCTGGCCTCGCTTTGACTGTGTCGCCGACACCTGAGGCTCATGGAAATGACCCCAACATCTGCTTGGACCTCCTTGCGATCCGCACCGACAGACGAAGGAGGCCCCCGTTTCTTGCACGTTCGGGGTGGCTCAGAGCCACCGCCACCGAGACGCTGGTGTCACATCGAGCAGATGTGGCCTCAGATACAAACAGAGAGACGATGTTGGAGTGGAGCGGCTCATTGGAGCCTGCTGCGTGGCTGAGTGGCTGTCCAAGGACCACACCGACGCACAAACCCACAAAGAAGCTTTCTGAGCCGCAAAATGCCGCAAAGGGTCCCCTGTGCTGTGAGGATTTAATTGTCATGACTGCGTGCATGGATCTGCCGCAACAGTTGATGGCAACTTTGCTTTTTGAAGGGACCTCAAGCGGGGGGCGGCGGGCCTAGGGGGGCCACTGGGCCACGACCATGGCTGCCGTGGGCCGTGCCTGTGCTTTGGGCACTTCGCCCGAGCAGCCGAGGATCGGAAATGAGGTGAAACGAAGGTCTGTGACGCCTGGCGACTCAGCTGGCGACTCCTAGTGACTAGGGTACAACAAGGCCCCACTCGGCGCGGACTCTGCATCTGCTGGACGCTGCGCTCTTGAGATGATGGCGCCCCCTGCGTCGTCTCTTGAAGAGCGCTTCGCTCTGGCAAACACAACCACAGCCACACAACCACACTGCCGCCTCCAGTGACATTGTGACCAAGCACGAGGAATCCGAAGGTGGAGTCCTGGCTTTTCTGCGAATCCAAATCAGGCGCAAGGCCGCGGCCTGTCCTGGCACATGGCAATCGGCTGGAAACCTGGCAAAGTGCTGAGACTCTGAGAGGCTCCGAAAAAGCTCCTTCCTCCCCCTCTCCCTCTCTCTCCAGCACGCGAACTGATCAAATGCGACCACACGACGTCGACGGTCTCTCTCTCTCTCTCTCTGTCTCTCTCTCTCGCGCCAAGAAGGAGTCCACGCTTGCGCTTGCCCCCCGCCCCCCCAAAAAAATATGAAATCAAAGGTTTCTCCGGCCTAAGTTTCAGGGTTATATCGCTACCCACTTGTCCCTCAGCTCTGTTTTTTCTTAGCCTTGTCCTCTCATTTAGTTCTCTGTTCTTTCGCTACCTGTTGCATTTCCACAGTCCAATTTCCCCGTATTTCCCGCCGAATTTTTTCAAATTTTTAGCCACAGAATTTTTTAACCACCTTATCTATTTTTCAGCATTTATCACCTTATCCATTATAGACAAAGGCTTCTAAGGACAAGCTACCTAATTCATTCCGCTAAACCTACAAATAACAACGTTCCCAAATTTCAACATCTCCACCTTATGCGTTCCTATATTCTTAAAGTCCTTCTTATATCGTTGTTTTAATGTTTGTTCTTGTTATGATTTATAGCAAGAAAAAACCTATTTTACTACCCATTCTGTCCCCTCATTCGTTCTAATCTTTTACCAACTTTTTAAGCTTCTGGGGCTTCCCGTGTTATAGTTAGTCCTTTTAGCATGGGTTTTTAACCATCATTACCCCATGCACTGTCATGTTTTTTCGGTGCTTCAGTTATGTTAAACTCAATCTGTTCTAACCGTTCTGAACTACACATATAGCGATTTCCATGTTTTTGAATGTGTAAAATGTTACCATAGTTGTTCAATAACCGTTGCCTACAGCTTTTCGGATTGCCTTCAGCGTTATAATCATCATCCTCATAGACTTGTTCTTGAAATTTCTCCATGGCTTGTTTAATCGGTATCCAGTGCTCGGTTCACAATGAACCAATGACAACAAATTCAACTTGTTAGTCTCTCTTCTATATGGGTTGGTAATCGTTTGTAATTCGTCTATCTTCTCTACTGTTCGGCTTTTCTCCTTACATACAACACATTGATAGGTATAAGAAAAGATTTGTGATGTAATTACATCGGGTAAATTAAGACCATCAATGATACAGTAGTTTTTGTGTTCTTTGTAATTCTTGCATTTACTACAGCATTGTTTTTCATTAGCCACTTCTACTTTGTAGTCCTTCAAGTTAATGATATCCAAAAACTCATTGATAATCTCTTCCTGTTCAACATCAGTAAATCTCAATGTCATGACTCTCTTAATTTACTAAGGCGTTTTGTCTTTAAGTCTTTTTGTTCAATGATTTTTCTTTGTCTTGGTTCTGCTATTTCTTTCTCGGTTGTTTATCGGGTGTGCTTGAACGACTTCGGCTTGCTCCTCTTTGTAATAACCTTATTGCGTCATTGCTTCCGCTTGCTCTTTCTTCTGGCGAAGCCGATCGCGAACGACTCGCCCCTCTTCTCATTAATCCTTGTGTTCGTGGAAATACCCCTTCATTAATAGGTGGCTCGGGCTCTTCATCTTCATCTCCTTCATTTAACCAATTATACGTATCAATACCCGTTTTTATGGTTTGTCCTAATGCTCTACCTGTATGATATAAAGCTTTACCTCCCATTTTTGCCACAGTTGCCACATCATCTAATAACTGTCTTTCTGGTGAAGGTTTATCATCGTCGCTTTCCTCATCATCATCATCATCTTGTTTTTTAGATGGTGGAACAGAACTATAGGGTGTTTCATTTTGCCTTAACATGTATCTAAATGTTTGTGTCATTTTGTTTCTTCTGTTTTTCATTAAATTCTCATAGTCGCGAGCACCACGTAGCACGCGAGCCTCTGGCGAGTCGTCTTTAACTTGACTATCATATAACCATTCAACGCCTTCAATTTCGGGAAAATCTGCCTGTATCTTTTTATTAGCTGTATCATCAACGTCATAACCTTCTGTATTCAAATAGTTATTATACATTCCTAAAATAAACAGTTCATCATCTTCATCATCAGTTCTTCTCCTCCTTCTTTTTGGTAGTTTATCTTTTACTAAATTTAATCTCCTATTCATATTACTATATTAGAAAATTATACCCCAAAAGCTTTTTTAACTAATGCTTCTCCACCTTTTGCCGCTACTGCTTTCGCAAATGCTTTTCCTCCTTCTAAAGCTACTTCTCCCACGCTTGACGATAAACTTTGACTTTTACTTTTGCTTCTCGTTCTAAACGCCCATTCACGCCTTCGCTTTTCATACATTTCATCAGATACTGGGTCAGTCCATGAACCTTGAACTATTTCATTTCGCACTAATTCAAGTAAATATTTTTTATAATCTTTGCCTTTTATTTTGTCTTCTTCTTTAAAACTAATATTTCTTAAGAAAAGTTGATATTCCAAATAATCAGCTGTTTGACCATCCCAAGAATCCATATTACCCGAATAATTAATTTCTTCTCTATGTGGTGGTGCTGGTAAAGATGGTGGCGATTGAGGTGATTGTGGTTGTCTTGCGAATACTTCCTGCCCCTGACTATCAACAAATTCTTCATCGGATGATATCGTATGAACTTCGGCTTTTGGACTCAAAAACGAACTCATTAATGTTTGTGCTCTTTCTTGTAATCTTTGCCCGAAACTTTGGCTTGTTTGTTCTTGTCTTCTCAGTTCTGCTTGTTCTCTCATTGACGTTTCAGCATCCATTCCCGAACCTTGGGCTCTTGCTGTATTAAGTGCTGTTCCGAAATCATCGTTTACACTTGTGCTACTGCTTCCCGTTTCACCTCCTCTATGTCGTTCCAAATGATAAGTTTGCCCGTTTGTCTGGCTCTGTCGTCTTAATATGGTGTCTCTCATTTGTCTGTCTAATATTCTGTTTTGTTGTTCCTTAAGTAATTCCATAGCATCAGAACCATCAAAGAAACTACCTTGCGGACTGTTTCTAAATCTCGTTGCCTCACGGTTTGGTAGTGGTTGTAACGCTTTTTGGTCATCACTTATTAAACCTACAATCTCCTCAAATGTCGGACGACGTTTTAACCCAAAACGCTGGTAAGGATTATTAAGTTCAAATCTTGCTGTTCGTGATACTGTTGTCATTTAATAATATTATTAATTTAGATTATAATATTATTAAACAAACTTAAGTTTTTTTAATTCTTCAATTCGTTTTTCCATGTGCTCTTTTGTTGCATGTGGTAAATTCGGCCTATGCAACTCATTCATTAACCTATCCATTTCCAATTGATAATTTTGTCTCTTGTTGCTCGCTAACAATTCGTTTCTTTTTAATATACTACCTTCTTGTGTTTCTCTTAATTTCATATGATGTTTGAGATGTTCTAAATATCTGGTGTCTTGCATTTCAAAGGGACTATACATTTTCTGGGAGGTGCTCAACTTAAAACCTTTAACATCGTCGGGGTGTTGTTTCTTAACGTATTTTCTTCCAAATCTTTTACTAAACATTATATTATTATTTAGATATTATTACCTTTTCTTAGTTCTTAAATTACCCGAAAACATATTAGCACATAAGCTATTAACCTTTTCCCTTTTCTTGCTTAAATACTCCTGATGCAAAATATTATAATTATCTAATATGTTTTCATAAGGCGTTTTCATTATAACTTTTTGTGTAGGTTCTTGAATAACTCTTGGCTTAACTTGCTTTAGTTGCATTGGTTCTTCACTTATTACTTCATTTTGTGCTTCTGCTGGTTTTATTGGAACTGCTTTAACTTTTGGTTTAACTTGTTTCTTTATGGGTCTATCTTCTAAATTTCCTTGGCAGTTCTTTTCATGTTTATATCTGTAAGAACGCAGGTTCATCGTTTTGGAACATTTAGGACATGTGATTTTCTTTTCTGCTAACCTTGCTGTTTTGCTTTTTGCTTCTTTTTCTTTTTCCTCCACTGGTATATTGCTTTCCTCTTTGACTTCATTTATAATATCATTTTGGTCTGCTACTTCATTTTGTTCTTCTGGATGCTCTTCGGGGGCTTCTTCAATTGGTTTAACAACCTCTTCTGACATACTATATATTTTATCTATATTTTATTCTTTTTTAATAAAAATAAAATATGGATACTATTTTTCAGTTTGGTCTGTTGGTTGGTTTAACGACTTTAAATATTGTTGATGCTTTTGTGATTTATTATGGGTGCTTTTTGCCCCCTTTGTTAAAACTGCATCACATTCACAAGTATAAGTTTCTTTTCGTCTTTCATATTCTTTTGTCTTTATTAGGTCTTTATTGGTTCTATAATATTCACGCTTTTGTTCTTTGATTTTGGTTTTGTGAGTGTCGTAATATTGTTTGGTAGTTCTACCAACTTGTATTTTGTTAATACACTCGTTCTCTCGTTGGTATTTCCCTTCTCTTGCTTCTAACTCTGCTTTACTACTACATGGACATAATTCAAGTAGTTCAATCTTACAGTTCTCAACACCATATTCTTCAAACAAACTAAACACTGTAACATGGTCATAATTACCATTTAAAAACCGCTTGTAAGACCTCCTATGCCCTGCCATTCTCATACTTAATTCTTGCGTTGTGCTTCCTATATAGCATTCATTATAATCATTATCCCATATCTTGTAAATCTTACCTTTTTGATAGTCTGGCATTTCTATGTTTATATATGGTTTTATATGTTTAAATACTTTCATAAATTTACAAATAATAAAGTGAAGCTAACATTTTGACCATGCAAGTTGACCGTTTTACCACGTGCGTCAGTAATTCTAAACCTAAACCTTTTTAACGACCTATTTGAAACATCAATCCAATCATTAACAAGTGGTGGAGATGTTGAAACGGTTATGCCTCCAACGTTGAACATCATGTTTATCTTTTTTATTATACTGTTACTAAATCCATCGGGTGCTGAATAATGAAAATCAGATAGTTCGGTGCATACAATATATAGGGAATTGAACGGATTTAAGTTCATCAGCCCACTTGTCCAA